CCTCCTCCATCCCCACCTCCTCCATCTCCTCCACCTTCCCCATCACCGCCCCAACCCCCATGTCCACCACCACCTCCATCACCGTCTCCTCCCCATCCTGACCCACCTCCATCACCCCCTCCCCCACAACCTCCACATCCACCACAGCCCCCTGTGTCCTCCGCCTCAGCACCCCCCTCCAGGTCTACATCAAACTCCCAGTCATCCTCCTCTGTTTCTTGTTCACTGTCATCAAGCTTTAGTTCCAAGTCCAGGTGTCCTCTAGTTCCTTCATTCCCTAGCTCTGCGTTTATCTGGGATAAATCTCCCCCTTCCTCATCACTCCCATCACTGAAGTCCTGGGTTCCGTGCAGGAAGTAGTGTCTGGACTTGTGTAGTCCAAACTTGTGCCGGATGAAGTGATTGCAAGGTGTGAGTATCAACAATCCCATCCCTGCGAGCATCAGATGTTCCTCAGACGGTAATTGTTGGATGTGAACCCGTCCTCGGTTTTGGGCCTTTGTCTGAAGTGGCTGGCCGGGTTGCCAGTTTTTTGGCCGAGGCTGACAGAGAACATGGAGGAGAGAGATACAGAAAACAAGTCCCAAGTTCTCAGCCATCTCTGTAAAGTTTTTCTTGTAGGTAATTGTCCCATCAATTAATTCCATTGTCACACCATCACACTTGACTGTGTATTGTTCTGAATGGTGATTCATCTCTACCTCTGCTGTTGTCCATGTTTTCTTAGATGTATGGAAGACTTTAACCCCTAGATGACCTGGACTTCCAGGTGTTCCACGCTTACCTATGTTGAAAGATGTGAGAGAAATTTGTTTGCAGTTATCACATGACACTTTCAATTTTAATTAAATATTTTTCAATTTTAAAAGAAGTGAGATGGTATTTTATATTGACCCTTATAACTCATTCACCCCTGAAGATGCATTTGAACTCTTCCAATTCAAAGGTTGGAATAGTTCATTATGAAACTTCAGGGGTGAATGAGTTAAGTGGCTCATATACATGATCTTTGACATGTAATACATGAATTAAGGATGATTGCTTAGAAACCATAAAATAAAGTTTTCAACAGGTGACTTTGAAATTTCCCCCCCCCCCCCTCAGCCTGATCTTTTATTTCTTTTAAAATGCTTATTTTTTTTATCACACTTATACCTGCGAACTTTTTGAAATTTCTATGTGTGATATTATGCATGCTCAGAATAAAAACATAAAATATGAGTAAGTACACCATTGGGATAAAATAACACTTTTAAACGGCATATTTTGAGCTGTTCTTTCAGATGAAATCATTATATCTTAGGAACAGTTTAGCAAATTTGCTGGTTGAATATGCCCAACCTTGAGGTCTAAAATTAGGAGCTTCCCTCTAAAATAGGCATGGCATGTATACACACTGGTTACACATGTATGGAGAGATCCCGACTTTGTATACACACTGGTTACACATGTATGGAGATATCCCGACTGTGTATACACACTGGTTACACAGGTATGGAGAGATCCCGACTGTGTATACACACGGGTTACACATGTATGGAGAGATCACGACTGTGTATACACCCTGGTTACACATGTATGGAGAGATCCCGACTCTGTATACACACTGGTTACACATGTATGGAGAGATTCCGACTGTGTATACACACTGGTTACACATGTAGGGAGAGATCCCCACTGTGTACACAAAAATGGCAAACTGTTAATTCTACAAGCCATAGTTGTGATAAAGGCCAGAAATCGCAGCGTATGGAGAGATCCCGACTGTGTATACACACGGGTTACACATGTATGGAGAGATCCCGACTATGTATACACACTGGTTACACATGTATAGAGAGATCCCGACTGTGTATACACACTGGTTTCACATGTATGGAGAGATCACGACTGTGTATACACACTGGTTACGCATGTATGGAGAGATCCCGACTGTGTATACACACTGATTACACATGTATGGAGAGATCCCGACTGTGTATACTCACTGGTTACACATGTATGGAGAGATCACGACTGTGTATACACCCTGGTTACACATGTATGGAGAGATCCCGACTTTGTATACACACTGGTTACACATGTATGGAGATATCCCGACTGTGTATACACACTGGTTACACATGCATGGAGAAATCCCGACTGTGTATACACACTGGTTACAAATGTATGGAGAGATCCCGACTGTGTGTATACACACTGGTTACACATGTATGCAGAGATCCCGACTGTGTGTACACACTGGTTACACATGTATGGAGAGATCTCGACTGTGTATACACACTGGTTACACATGTATGGGGTGATCCCCACTGTGTACACAAAAATGGCAAACTGTTAATTCTACAAGCCATAGTTGTGATAAAGGCCAGAAATCGCAGCAATAAATTACATAGTTTTATTATTTTCTGGATATTTTTATATCTTAGGAACAGTTTAGCAAATTTGCTGGTTGAATATGCCCAACCTTGAGGTCTAAAGTTAGGAGCTTCCCTCTAAAATAGGCATGGCATGTATACACACTGGTTACACATGTATGGAGACATCCCCACTGTGTACACAAAAATGGCAAACTGTTAATTTTACAATCCATAGTTGTGATAAAGGCCAGAAATCGCAGCGTATGGAGAGATCCCGACTGTGTATACACACGGGTTACACATGTATGGAGAGATCCCCACTGTGTACACAAAAATGGCAAACTGTTAATTCTACAAGCCATAGTTGTGATAAAGGCCAGAAATCGCAGCAGTAAATTACATAGTTTTATTATTTTCTGGATATTTTTATATCTTAGGAACAGTTTAGCAAATTTGCTGGTTGAATATGCCCAACCTTGAGGTCTAAAATTAGGAGCTTCCCTCTAAAATAGGCATGGCATGTATACACACTGGTTACACATGTATGGAGAGATCTCGACTGTGTATACACACTGGTTACACATGTAGGGAGAGATCCCCACTGTGTACACAAAAATGGCAAACTGTTAATTTTACAAGCCATAGTTGGGATAAAGGCCAGAAATCGCAGCAATAAATTACATAGTTTTATTATTTTCTGGATATTTTTATATCTTAGGAACAGTTTAGCAAATTTGCTGGTTGAATATGCCCAACCTTGAGGTCTAAAGTTAGGAGCTTCCCTCTAAAATAGGCATGGCATGTATACACACTGGTTACACATGTATGGAGAGATTCCGACTGTGTACACAGACTGGTTACACATGTATGGAGAGATCCCAACTGTGTATACACACTGGTTACACATGTATGAAGAGATCCCGACTGTGTATACACACTGGTTACACATGTATGGAGAGATCCCCACTGTGTACACAAAAATGGCAAACTGTTAATTTTACAAGCCATAGTTGTGATAAAGGCCAGAAATCGCAGCAATAAATTACATAGTTTTATTATTTTCTGGATATTTTGATGCATTAATAAGTTTTACTTCTGGATCTTATTTTTCACACTAATTTTGCTGAAGATATTGCAGTTTGATTAAACAAAAATAGCAAGGAAATAGCACATAAATAGCACTACACAGCGAGATTAAACTACCTTTGGTTCCTGGAACACCCGGTTTCCGACCGGTCCAACCTGCTACTACAACTCCCCAGTCTCCCCTCTTGTTTTTAATGAGTATAGCCCGTTCTCCCTTACAGGGGTTGAGGACTGCACACTTGTCTCCATCATCTACCTGTACACCAGATATAAAGTAACAGTTTAAACAATTCAACATCAATATCAAAGTTTTACTTTCTACACAAACAATGTCTCCTATAGGAGAAATGTCCCGGATTGAGTGACATAAAAAGTATATACAATTTCGTCACATCGTTGTACAGTTAAAAAAACCAATCGCTCACTCAGTCATAGCTTGACAAAAGAACCAGTCGGTCTTGAAACGTTGCGACACGTTTAATATGTACATTGTTTGTGTAGAAAGTGAAACTTTGATATCACATATTTCCAAACTGATGAATCTTATTGAAGAAATTAAACATCAATAGGGTTAAAAAATATATATATATATATATACACATTGTGTGTATTGGCTTTAATATTATCCCAGGATGATCATTACAATATATACATGAACCAAAGGACAGGCACATTCTATTTCCAGTTTTACATGATCAGCGATTCTTATTTTACCTTGAAGTGGTGACATTAAATAATAAAGTTTGATAAAACCAAGTACTGTCATAAGTCAAAGGTCATGTAAACAAGGCTTACTGTCATAAGTCAAAGGTCAAGTAAACAACGCTTACTGTCATAAGGCAAAGGTCAAGTAAACATGGCTTACTGTCATAAGGCAAAGGTCAAGTAAACAAGGCTTACTGTCATAAGGCAAAGGTCAAGTAAACATGGCTTACTATCATAAGTCAAAGGTCCTGTAAACAAGGTTTACTGTCATAAGTCAAAGGTCAAGTAAACAAGGCTTACTGTCATAAGTCAAAGGTCAAGTAAACAAGGCTTAATGTCATAAGTCAAAGGTCATGTAAACAAGGCTGAGTATCAATTAAAAATCTAGAGATTCTTTTTTTTCAATGATAGTTAAATCACAAAGGTGGCCAATGAAACAATTTTAAGACCTTTTTACATTTTTTTGAGAATGCAAACCCCTCCTACCTCAAACCAGATCAAATGCATTGTACAAAAAGACTTGCCAGAGAATAAAAAGAATAAACATCAATACAGTTAGACCTTAAAGTATTGAAAGATCTGGTTTCTTGGTTTCTGGATTATTTAGATTTATAATTTGCTTTCAGCAGGTTATCATATTGTGTGTCAAATGTGAGTAAGCTCGTTCAGCCTTGCTACAGCTGATTCCTGGCTGTGGTAGCTACAATACCTGGGAGGGCAGAGGCAGCTGGTCAGTGCCGACTAGATGACAGACGACAGCCAGTTTGTCCTGGTAGTAGATCTGGACGGCAGACGTCAACAGGGCCACGCTATGTATTACACGACAGGTAAACATCACCTTACCATTGGTGTTCCTTATCCTGTCAACACAATAACATGAATTATATATTCAGATTCAATATTACATTTTTTTACATACATTTAAGACTATAAAACAACATGTTTATACATTAAAGTTGATCAATTTCACGACTCCTGTTTGAGCAATGGAAACTGTACCAGGGCAATGTTGTTTCTATGTGATGATCCAGATATTTATTCTACTTAAACCATATATACCCAGGGAAAATCCTGGAATTTGAGAGCAGTGAGCCATTTTCAGAAATTTTTAGTCAATATCAAACTTAAGAGGCCAGGGGCCATTCTATCTTACTGTAAAATATAAAGAAACTTGGAACATGGAGGGGTCAATTTCAGTTTTGAGGGGTCAATGACCCCCTCCAGGATTATCCCTCACTACCTGTACATGTTGCAACACTGTACCTGTATAAACCAGTATGTAGATAAAATAAAATTTATCTGTGCCTAAGATGTACAATAATCGCACTTGAAAAACAAGTCAACTTTAAATTCAGTGTTATGAATAAAACATTGTGTGATGAATATTGTACAGTATAAGATGTCATGTCATGTGTGCGGACGAAAATGGTAGCTTGGTCTGTCAGGCTACATTTTTTTTTTATACACATACATGTATAGTTTTAGCTAGCACTGGTCTTCGGAATTGGTTTTCACTGGTGGTAGTAATTAAAAATCATTATGAAAAAAAATAACCATATCAATTTATACCTTTTTAATAAAGAAATATTAGTAAAAACCTACTGGAATTAATCTGTAAACACAAATCAATGAATTAAATCATATGTTGTAAATATCTTCAATAAGATATATATACATTATTTAATGAAACCAAGATCATATTTTGTAAATGTTTTGTCTTGCCTAGAAATGTGCTATCTACACTTATTGTAATTAATTGGCTCAGTCATACCATGAGTTGCCATTTTTAAACCTGTATCAGTATCACATCCTAACTATCAGACTGCTGAAGTGCATGTAATAACATGTACAGCAATAAACAATTTTGTCACCAGTAGTAAAGGCTTCAATTTGCAAGTGAAATCTAACACTGTAATCAGTTTGCAATTTGGAGTGTTTTACATATTAGATACAATGTATTATCTTTTTATTTTAAGGCTAGTTTGCAGGTGATCATATTCTTATTCAAGAAGTAAAATTATGATTACATTAATTTATCACCTATATTTTCTTTCCTAGGTTTCAAGGAAATGGGAGCAATAAGCCTAGATAGTCATTCGCCGCTATCACAACCTACCTGTGTGATGCTACAGAACACAAATTCTGCTGTCCAGGTGGAAGACGTGGTAAAGGAATAGGACCCCACAGTTGCTCGGACACTTCAGGCATGACCGCATCTTCAAATGATCCTATGGATACTCCTAGACGACACTGAGATATTTTAGTAATCTCAACGTTCTGTTTTAACTTCATGATGGAACCGTCTGACATTTCACATACAATTCCAACACTTGTAACCTTTTCACTGTTTGCCAAACATTTTTTCAGTATGGAATCAACATCAAATTTCCCAGTGACTCTGGAAGGTTTACCTGTGAATTTTTTCACAAACCCTGATTTCCTGCTCAGCCTTAGATCAACTGTTCTGCTATAGTATGTGTCAATTTCATAACTTTTGTTAACTGTTGATAAATTTGCCTCATTCCAAAGCCCCTGGCCATGATCATGTGGTCTTTTTAATTTCAACAATTCTAAGTCTATACCACCTTCCAATATACTTATGAACTTCACATTGGCAATTTTCTTTGGATGCATAGTTTCATTGTCAATGTCAATATTTTGAATGGTGAAACTGGCAATTTTTGTACATTCAGCATAAATTGGTGCCATTGGTACCACACATAGTTTGCCTGCAGGCGAATCTCCTCTGTACATGGCTCCAAAGTTTGAAAAATCTTCCCCAAACATCTCTCGCCAACGTGTTTGTGTCTCCTCACTTGCTGTACAAAGTTTTGACCCCAAGCTTCTGTCATTGACAGAATCGTCATGGTTGAAATGTTTTCCGAGAATTCTCACTGTATCCTCTTTATACTTAACAGGATGTAGTTGATGTGTGTGCCAGATCAGATCTGTGTCATAACATGGTACAATGAAAAGGTCTGGATTACTTTTCTTTACAGACAAAAACTTTTCATAGCGCTTCAAACCTTTAGCCACAAACTTTTTATCAAGATAATGAGGAAGAGAAACTTGATAGTAGAAAGCCTGCTGTCTCCCTACAGCTTTTTCTATGTCGTAGGTAAATGAGGAGGTAAAGTCTGTGTTTGAGCAGCTTGCTTCATCCAGACAAACTGCAAACGGCTCACCAGGGTACATTTCTTCCCAGTAGGACCTGGCCAGGTCCATATTATACTGATTGTCCCTGTTATTGAGGAAGATCTTGAAGTCAACTACACATCCCACAGCCTTCTCACAGTCCCTTGTGTAGGCCACTGGTGCCAGCATGTGGCAGTGCCATACCCAGGCAATATCCAATGGAGCCACCAGAGTCCTGTTGTTGTGCTTGGCCGCCAGGGGGAGCCACAGACACTCATACCTGTAGATTAAAAAACAATGCAGTAGCTATCGGTAACTTAAGCAACTTTGAAGGTTCAATATACATGTATAGATATACCAACAGCTTAAACATTGTGGTATTAATCTGTTGAGCGAGTCACAAAATATCTTGTACACAAGCATTTTACTGTACACAGACAAACACACCGACAAAGCAATTACTACATTAACTTTAAAGAAATTTTGGGGTATAATAACATGGTATGTTTTACTAATTGATTTGTCTGTTGGATAACCGAAGTACTTGGTATTGCAGCGGAACTAAAACCACTGAATCAACTAATGATCCTTTATCTTAGGACTAGGTAAACCAATAGCAGCTTTGAGTATAAATAAAATTACCTGTAAATTGCCCTTCTCACTATGGGACCATTGTATAGAGATGGCTGTTGATCAACTTTCTCCAGAAACTTCACCTCCCTTGTGGCTGCCTCTACTAGGTCTATGCCATCTGCAATATCAAAACCGTTTTCTTGTGCCATCTTCTGTCTATGTCAAGTCAATCAGAATCATGGCCAATATCATGATCAAATTCCTGGGCCCCTTATTTGTGCAGTACTGTTGATTTCCTAGCTACATCATCATCAAATCATTTATTTCCTGTAAAAAAAAAATTAAAAAAAAAAAATATGAATATTGTTAGTTCTGTGTATAAAGTTTGGAAAATGAAACATGGTTAGTCAATTATATTTTCATGCTAAATTTGATGGATATTCTGAAATTATTTTTCAGCAATTGTTAATTTCTCTGCACTTTATGTGAATAATTGCAAATTATATATGTAGTATGAATTTTATCATTTATGAATATAACAAACACAAGATCCTATAGGAATGTGGACCTGAACCAGTGTACATGTGTGTACCTGAAAGCAAATTTCTTAACTTTCAAAACAGTCAAATTCCAAGATTGCTATCTGGCAACCACCTTATTAAGTTGTTATATATATTTTTTCATTTGTATGTTTCTTACTGTGCAGGATAAGTACATCCTCCTCAAATCCGTAGCTAGAACACTACCAATGCCCCCTTTTTCAAATTCTGCAGAAATCACTGCTTATATTCTTATGATCTTGAAAGTTTCAAAATTATACATACATGTACAACTAGTCTACAAACTAAGATTAACCAACTTGTAAAGTTTATGAAGGATTCCATTAGGATTTTTTGAGACATACTATTACATTTAATTTTGCAAGCGAGATTTATAGATTCTCTCAACTTGAAAATTATACTGATATCTTCCATACTCTTTTGAAATACATAAAAAGTGTATCTATCATAGTGTGAAATACATATATCTATAGGTAATGACCAGTTGGAATAATATACCTTCTATTCACTGCACTCAGAGCCAGAAATGTTTCGATTCATATGCAGATGATAAGGGAAGATAGAATAAACAGAGCTGACCTGATGATCAAAGAAAATTGAAGAGAGAATAGCCTGATCAAAATTGTGTGGAACCGAATGTTGTCAAACATGATGCCATAAAAATATGGCTCTAAAGATCACACTTCCATTCCCCACAATTTTTGATGCAGTATAATTTTCATCACTGTTGGCCGGTAGTTTAAAAATGTATTAAATAGAAAATTTATATGTTTTCCTCTTGAATACCATATATTTTACCCCAATGGCAAATAAACTGATTTGTTCATGATTGCAAAAATGGGAAATCCTTTATTATCTAAACATTATATCAAACTGAAACTGTCAAAATTCAAGATGGCTTCACAGCAGCCCTCTTGTTCTTCCGATCAACCTACAAAATGAACATGCAAAATAAATCTGGAGTAACCCACTAATAACATCTAAGTATGATCCCTCCAACGTTTTTTGAGATAAACTGATATTAGTTAACAGTTTACTACTCCAAGAATGTTATTGATAAAGTTATGGGATATGTACCATAATTTTTATCTTCTTCCGGCTTTGTACTCTTGCAAACAGTCCCAAAAATAAACATGCACAGCTCATAAAGACCAAATGACACATACTTGTGGATCTTAAAAGTTTCCTCAAATATTTTTTCTCGCAGTATGTAGACAAACGAGCAAGACACTCGATGCAACACGGACAAAAGGCGGTTTGAATGAGATGGGGGTAAATATCGGGTACATTTCTCCTACGACACCGGTTACAAAACAAAGTTAATAATATGATTTACAGACTCTATATTAAATCGGTTAGAGTTATAATCGTCATTTAACTATAGTAAAGGGACAAAGGAAAAATTCTAAGTCACGACTGTGATTATGTTCCGCTTCTGACAGCAGGAATATAATGATACCTCATAGTGCCAGAACGTCAACTATTCATCGACTGCGAAGATGACCTAGATTTAGCCCTGTACTGTACCTCGTCAATATACTCGATGTCCCAATCCGTGTAATTAAAGAATCGTGACATATTTACAACTCGTTTCGTTTGTAGTATTATAAATATAGCAAGAAAATACCTTAATGTAACCGACATCGGTAGTGTTACCTGCTAGCAGTATTTGGGGCCCACTTAATTCGTACGATGTTGGCATGCACCGGTCACTTGGTGTGCGCATAATTCGACTATGAAAATGAACAAATATCAATATTTTTAATACCTAGGAGTAATTAAAACCATATTATTTCATCTTGTTGACCTCAGTACATTGATGCATTTTACTTTTGCTGATAAACAAACTGGCTGATATGTTTCACATGTGCTCGCCGGCAACCGACATATGCCGTTTGACGAACCAAGTGTACCAGAATTTTGGAACGAAATCCTAGCGGTGAGATAAGTCACAACGGTAGGGAATAATATATCCCCTAATAAAGTCTGCATGCCACCAGATACGTCTAGGCCTATATACTACAGAGTCTAGCTATATATGTCTCTAGTCTGGTAACACTAATCGCCCCAAAATCAATAGAAAATCATTTGAAGGTTTGCTAAGATAATAACGCCCTTTTTGTTAGTGGTAATTAAGGCCCTGATTAAAAAAAAATCAAAAAAATCCTTAAACAGTTTTATGTCGAAATAGCTCCGATTATCACAGATCTATTTAATTATTCCCTCTCTCAAGCAGTGTAGTTCTTTCAGACTGGAAGACTGACATTATAGTCCTTGTATTTAAAAAGGGACCACAAAAATAACCGCAAAATTACCGACCAATCTCGCTAACCTGCATCCTCAGTAAAATGATAGAACACATCCCAGCCGGCACACGACCTAAATTCAACGTTTAAATTTAGTTGAAATGCCACCAGTTGAAGAGAGACTGTTATTTCAACGTTGAAACAATATTGAATATTCAATGGTTGAAGAAGTGTTGACGAGTTACTATTTAATCAACGTTGACATTTCAACGTTGAAACCCAGCCGGCACACGACCTAAATTCAACGTTTAAATTCATTTAAAATACCAACAGTTGAAGAGAGACTGTTGTTTCAACGTATATTCAATGGTTGAAGAAGTGTTGATGAGTTACTATTTAATCAACGTTGACATTTCAAGGTTGAAACCACGACCTAAATTCAACGTTTACATTTAGTTGAACTGCCACCAGTTGAAGAGAGACTGTTATTTCAACGTTGAAACAACATTGATATTCAATGGTTGAAGAAGTGTTGATGAGTTACTATTTAATCAACGTTGACATTTCAACGTTGAATCAATGTAATGGCTACCACCAAAATCAATGCAATTATTTAATTTGTTTCATTTTTTTTATATATGATATATATCAACACCACGAAACAAACTGGACCAGTCTTGCACTTATTCTCCGTTAAGTACT